ATATGAATTTTTACTGATTGTGACCAAGCCAGATAATTAGTTCCATCCAGCTTGACTGTAGTCACAGCCAGTAGAGAGTCTATAGAGGCTCCCAGAACCTGTCCGGATTCAACAACATGCTTGTTTTCAAATTCTGAGGAGTTCATTTTCTTAAATACTTCAAAAATGACTTCTAACAACTTTGAGTAACAACAAATGAAGACAGAACAAAAACTACGTTGTGAGTCAACCTCTATGCAGCCGTACCAGCAACCTACGTCACACCCGGAAGCCGGGAGAAATAGAGAAAACTCAGCCGCTCCTTGTAGACTTCACAAAACACCAATCCACTTGATTCGATCTTCAAGAAGAAGGATGAGAAGGCCTTCAGTCACTGAGCGCCTAGGTCAAACTCCCTGTGGGGCCCACAATCAGATTTCTCCAGAAAATTAGGGTTTTGGGCAACACACTTGAATCTGTCAAGAGGACGACAAAACCAGTCCCCTTCTCTCCAAAAACCACTAACAACTGGGCTGAAATAGGTTTCTTTAACTATTCATACGATTTAGTTCTCCATGCACATTGTGTATGGGAAAAAAAGAGGTGAAAAGAGGCAAAAACGAGCCTGCTCTGATACCAAGAAGAAAAACAGCCTTTTGAGAAGAAAGGACTGTTTATAAAGTTGCAAAAATTCAAAAGAAAGTAGCAGAAATCAGATTTCAAGAGGTGAGAAGAAGAAGAAGAAGGTGGTGGTAACTAGGGTTCAGAGAGAGAGATTTTCGAACATAATCTCCTCTCTTACTCCCTTAATTCTATTTCATTAAGTTAAACTTTAGTAATTTACAGAGAGGCCCCTAGTTGGGCAGAAAATTAAAAAACATAACATAAGAAAGAATAAAGCCCAGATTAAGGCCCATTACAGCAAAGAACATAAAAGATAAAAAAGATAAACAGCCTATGGGCCATTCGGCCCATCTTCTCTACAAGGATCTACCATTTACCAGTTATATTTTTGGTAGAAAACTTCCATGAGGGAGAGAAATGATCCCTGGTTGAAAGTTCTCTTGACTAAAGTGTAATCAGAGCCATAATGTTCAAAAGTTCACAAAACACCAAAAGGATGCTGTTTAAGTTATACAAGTTTTTGCAAAATTTAATTTCATCAAGTAATAAAGCAAACATCAATATCCTAATAGACAACAGAAGTAACATAATTCCATTTTGTGCACATATCACTGCTTGATATTTTTCTTTTAACTTGATTTGCATCTTTAAGTATTGTCAAATGTAACTATACTACTACACTAAAAAGACATAATTGAGCTTACTTGACTGTTTAGGAAGTTGATATTCATATATGGATCCACTAGATGTTGTAAAGAACAGTGATAAAACATTCTCATTTAGTTCATTTTGGGTAACTGGTGTGATTGATGTCAGGTTCTGGTCCTTAGGACCTTCATGGGCTATCCATCTCCACTTCCGCCGATGCAGTCTCCTCTCAATCAAGTAACCATCCTGCATATCTACAAAAATATTTTAACAAAATAATAAAAGGAAGTATTTCCTATTATTAAAATTGAGTAGTTGTAATTTTAGTCAAATAAAAAGAGGGAAATTTGGCTCTGCCAAATTACACCTTTGCATTGCTTGATTAAAATAAAGGAAAGCCAATTTTATGTAAGCCGGAATACAGTGTAGTACCCCTATAGATGACTTTTCTAAAAGGTAAGGGGTTATTAAGTTGCATAACTTATAAAATGCCATACAATAGCTATTAAAGCATTTATATTTTCTATTACTTACCATATAATGTGCTTTTCATTCCGGCACAACATAAATATATAATAATTCAGTATAATACCTTAGTTATTAGGAACAGAGATATAGAATATGCTCCAATCAAGCCATGAACGGTACACCCAACAGATGATGACAATGGAACTTCTCGCTTTGATCCTTCACTCCATATATGTTTCTTCCATGATGGCCTTGAGCTTCGGTCTAATTCATAAAGATCTCCATTGGAGCTGTACTGCAAGATTTCATATTTAGCATATTTATAATGATTTCCAAACAAAAATGAAAAGCTACAATGAATACCCTTTCGGCTAAATTAATACTGTATTGGTGGGGCTCTTGATGAAGCAAGGTCACTCTTGCTGTTATCTATTGGTAAATTCTGTGATGTCATGCTATCCTTGAATGTAATATTACACACTTCCTTACTATCAATAAAATTTCATCTGTTACTGAGGAAAAAGAAAGAAAAGCTACAATAGTACAGAAGGAAATTTACATGGTTCTTCATCATAAGCCTATGATATAGTGCTAACAGGCATAAGAATTTACAGGGGTAGACTGGATACAGTGCTAACCTTTGGCATCTTTTTTGCACAAAGTGGCTACTCTCAGACTCAAACCCATATTCTTATGCCTGTTGGCCTGAGGTTTTACCATTGCACCAAGAAATGGCCCTTATCATTTGAACCTTAAGGGTGATATATTACGTTGTGGATAATATCTTTGCTATGCTTGGAGAAAGAAATAGACAAAATGACGTCCATTGTGTGAAGTATAGTGGGATTGTGGCTACCTTACTATAAATACTATATCTGGTCTAATAGTGGCAGCATCAACTATGGTTGCAACATTTCCACCAGGGGGTTGTCCATGAAATATCCACCTGTTCAAAAGTTGGTTTATCATCAAATCAAACATTGAATCCTCTAACTGAACTATAATTAATAACCTAAGCGTATAGCCATTAATCTCACCTCCAAGGATCAATTTCAGTAAGCTCCAACAAAGATCCACCCATTGTAGAGAAGTAAACTTTTCTGAGTAGTAAAAAGAAAAAAGGAAAAGAAAAGAAAGCATTGGGTTATCAACAATAACTCAGCTTTTCTTGTTTCTGCTTTATTGACAATTCACATTACATTACAGGTTGCCAACTATGATAACCAAACAAGATTGACTACTCACTCTCCATCATGTGAAACAGCACCTGACTTGATCAGGATTAAGCTTGAATCTGTATCTGTATGTGTAGGTGTGCAGTCAATCCAAATTGGCTGTGAGTTTTCACTTATCTGCAGCTGGAAACAGCAAGGAGGGATATGTTAGTAGCATGAGCACGTTCAGTTGATATTTTACAATTTTTGCACTTGCACTTACATTTAAAGAAGAAGATACTCTTAAAGGAAATATACTGTTTTTTTTGGATAAGTGGCAATATATACTTCTCTTGAGTGTGACTTCTATTACAGAAGATGAAATATGATTATATGATCTCTCTCTCTCTCCCCTGTAGTCACAGAGAAGCCAACTGTTCAAAGTCAACTGCATCCGGATATGGTTCATATGGTGATTACAAAGGACCAGAAAGTGAGAATTATATGTTTGGAAGGGACACAATAATTTTGTTCGTTGTGTTTAGTTAAAGAAACACTATTTAAATGAAGCCTATTGCAGTACTAGTTTCACCTCTGACATACCAATGCAACTATTATGGTAGGAATGCATGAACTTAAACCATATCCTACAGAAACGTATTTATTGAACTGAAATGAATCTGGTTGACCAGATTCAGGGGTTAGTCATTAAACTGAAGCTAAATTTCAGAACTGATTAATTTCTGTTTTAATAACCCTCTCTTATACTCTTTTCAACATAGCTTTTATTTCTCTGTGGTACTAAAAAAAAACAGACCATGCAGAAAATTACCTGATATAGATTCCCAGCTTCAGATAGCGCAAGTATTGTCTGATTGACAATGAAAACTGAAACTGCATGGCCTGCTGATATTGGTAAGTCATGGGGTGTGATTACCCACTGCACCCCATTCCAGAACCTTTCATAAATAGACCCACTTTCCCCAGTGACCCAAATAGAAGTCTCAGACATTTTAGTTATAGAAATTCTCTTCCTGAGGGGTAGAACCTGAGCAGGACTCTCCACTGGTAGTTCTTTGTCATCAAACATGATTTTTGATTTCATTCCTTGTTCAGAAATATCGTTTCTTTCCTGCAGGTAGTCTTCTTTCTGCTTCATCTGAGAAATAGAACCCACCTTAGTACAGTTCCCATTGACACAAGAAACCAAATCAAAAGGCAACTCCACTTCAACCCAACTGTTGGATTGCTCTTCAAACTCCCAGAATCGATTAGTCTTCTGCTCAAATACTGGACTGATGTGTCGAAGTTCATTGGGACACCATATTGAAAAAACAAGGACAACAAAATTCAATTGTAAGAAGACACTGGTGGAGAATTTTACATACAATCCAGCCATGACATCTTTTTTCTAGACAGCTTTCTTCAGAGAAATACATAAAACAGAGAAAAAAACATTACTCTGTTTATGGGTTCACGGGTAAGTCAGGGGTGAGCCAAGATGGCCCATTGCAGAAAAAATCTAAAATGAAATCTCAAAGCTGTTGCATCCAAGGAGTGCCTAACTTGCCGTTTTGGGAAAAGAGGAGCTCTCTGTCTGTTGTCTCTCTCCATGTACTTGGGGGGGAGGGTGGTCCATTGCAAAAAGCCACAAAGCAGATGGATTAGTTACAACTCACCAGAGAAGAAGAATTTATTATAAAAGAACCTCCCTCCCAAAGATGAGCTTCTGGTTAAACTTAAATCACTTGTACTCAGTTGTCTGGTCTCAGATTTTTTTTTTCCTGCTTTGTCCGTGTCTCTCTAATCGTTTCCTAAAACTTGGACGTTTTTCCTACCTAACATGACTTTATGATGATCTATTCATTAATTATATGTAAATATTTTTTTATGTGGTAAAAGAGAATACAAGAACAGATAAAGTTATAATTATGTTGAAGAAATGAGAAAAATGTGGGAAGTAGATCAGACCCTTCTCTTTTTCGTAAAGTTATAATTATAATCTTCGATTCATACCTTTTGAATAGACTGTAATCAGTAATCTTGACAGTGATAGAAAAGAGTGAATGCAGATGGTGGGTCTCATTCTGTATTGGATCATTGTAACCATTTGACTTGATCTGTCTTTGGAGGATCAACGGCATGATTGGCCTTTTACCTGGATATGGGCCCACTGAAGTATGGTTACTGGTTTGTAAGTATTTGATCTAGATGGGTCCGATGAAGTCTTGAATGAGATGTGATGACGTCCTTATCAAGAGCAAGGGGTCTTTCGGTCCTTGGGATTCACGCCACTGAATTCACTGAAGACTTTGAACATTTATTAATCTACGTAGAGGGCGATGCAGGATTGGTCCGTGGGCTTTGGGGACTTTAATGTGCAATGTCTTACGTAATCGGATGATGGGGACAACGGTTGAATGGGTCTCAATTGGGCCCAAAATCAACTCAAGTCGTGATCCCTACTGTTTGTGTTTGTTTTTTATTGCTGAATAAATTGAACGGTTCGAGAAAGCTCTGAAATTCATGGCGGGTACCAATACATGTATTAGGACCTTCCGTAGTGGGTCCCAACAATTGAACGGTCTTGATTGATGAATCAATGGACTGCTGCTACATCTTAGGGAGGGGAGAGGATATATTACCATTATCCCAACAAATCGGTTTAGTTAATGGGTCGAATTCCGATATACCACGACGATCCGTTATATATATATATATATATATATATATATATATATATATATAATTATATATTATATAATATCATTTATATATCATAAAATTTTTATTACAATTTTAATTGAATCACATTCAAATCGGATATTTGAATTTGAATTTGAATTCGAATCATACTTTAGGGATTTGGATCGGTCAGATTTCTTATCGGACCGGATTGGATATACTCTTTATCCAAGATCCGTTTGCAGCCCTAGTATTGGAGAGGATCACATGATCATGATGCACACAAGACGTCATTGTGTATGGTTCAAATCATGGTTACGACAGCTAAACTTGCAGCATTGACATTAATTCCGGCTCCCCGATGAATTTCATTGTTGTGGGACCCGGTTGATCACATCAGTAGTGGAATCTCAAAATGGGCTATCTCCGATCTCTGAAAGAATCCTATTTTTTTATTATTTGTGATTCGAAAGTCGATACATTCTAAGACTTCGTTTGGATCCAGTGTAAAACGTTTTTACATTGATCGTGTTTTATACGGTTACATTTTGAAAATCATGATAAGTCTGAAGTTTTATATCAATAATTGATGTAGTATTTATAGCAATTATTGATATAAAACTTTATGTTTAATGAGATTTTACATCAATTTATAATATAAAAATTCACTCCGTCCAAATACCAACAAATCAATGGAGTTTTACGTCGGGTGACACTAAATCCCATTACCAATGTTTCCATTTTCTGCATCTGACCCAATCATCTTTCAACACCTGTCCAGTTTAGGTCAGTCCTAGATTTCCAGCCCAGCCCCAATTTGGCTCCAAGGACTAAGTCTCACTAAGATGACGTTTAGGTTGGGCCTGGCTTACAGGCAAAAGAAAAGGGGCCAATCCTTGAATAGTTCCAAGTCAACCACATCTCACATGTGGGCCTGCATGTGCCACTCATGGGCTATGTATTTTCTTAAATTTTCAATGGGATTCCGCCCATAACTGTTCATTTGGGTCTGATCTGAATCCACAACCCCTGATTTCAAAGACCATGCATCAAAGTCTGGTATTATTGCATTCAAATGGATGGAGGAGAAAAGATTCTCCTGAAAGTTCAAAAGTTGTTCTACCAAAAATGCCCTCAAATGGGTAAAAAGCCATCTCATTAAACTGGTTTTTGATATAACCATAGATATAAATGGGACCCATTTCACAGTCAATCTAGATTCTTGAAATCTGACAAAAGGCAACTTATGGGGGACCCCCATACTCGTGTAGGGTCCTGTATCCTTAGATCCAAAACACTCCCATAAGCAGGAAATGGAGAGAGAATAGTAGATTATCAAAGCATTGACAACAAATATTCTCTTAATTGCTCCATGAAATCAGATATTTTTTTTTCTTGGACAAAACCCATGCTTTATTAACAAAATTTCAGGGAATTATTAGTTAGCAAACACCATTGATCAAACAATCAAACCTTGTTTTGCAAGCTTATTAATCTAAATATATTTGGATAAATCAATGTTTTCTTTTCCTGATGGATCATAGCCCAAATCACACCCAAACCTACGATGGAGATGGCGATAATCAAATGAGACAGCACCGCTATTTTTGTACTTTAAAGAGCAAATAAGCAAAAGTGTAAATATAAGCTTATGAGAAGCATAAGAAGATTGAGAATTATTAGCAAAAGAGAGGGCCAAAAGGAATAGAGAGCATAGGCAACCAAAGAACTTCCTTGACTCTGTGACTGAAATATTTCTGCCATTTTAATGTAGCAAAGTTTAAGAAGTACATTGCTACATAACACCGAATTAATACAATTAATGCTAGTTTCATGTTCAAAATGCAAAACCTTTGGGTGGGGGCATAAAATTTTCCCTCCATGAAAGATTCAAAGAATTCCTTCTGGTCAATTAATGCTCAGAAGCATCTCAACAACTTGCTTCTTGTTTAAGAGATCTACTTTGTGGGTTTATTAATTCTGAGTTTTAGATGACATGCTTTGCAGACTTGCAGTTGTAGAACTTAGGCCAATGAAATGGGGAAAAATGTAATAAGGGCTCATAATAAGAAGCCAATATGTTTTAAGCATGGGCCTAGAGGGCCCATAAGATGGTCTGGGCGCTCACAAGTCCAAAATCATCCTACCATTCGGAAGAGGTAGGGCTGTCAATGGGTCATACTATAGATAGAGAGAGAGAATATTTAATATATTAAACATATATGTTTCTTTTTTTCTTATTTATTACAATAGAGTCTGTGGGGTCAGACCTGATTGTCCTGGGAGCTAATCGGTTTGGTTCTGGGTCAAAAAATTATGGACTCTATCGGGTCCGTTTCTGGGTTTGGATTCTCATCATTTCAGGTCGGGTTGGTTCTGGCCCAGTCCCGGCTCATTGACAGCACTATAAATTGGTCATTGGTGGGCATCAAATTTAGATGGATCAAGATTATTTCAACCCATGATGGTTTTCGAACTGTTGTTGAATCGGACGGTTGGACCGTTTGGCCCGAGAACTATTCAGGAAACCGGTTCCTGGTAAAAAACCATTGAATCAGTCAACAACCTGTTGATCCGGGCGATCGATCCATCGACCCGTTCAACGGTTTTTGTCCGTTTTTTATTTTTAATTTTTTGTCAGAATGAATCATCCATTCGAACTGTTGACCTGGAAATTGTTGGCCAGAATGGTTCTATTTCCAGATCATTTTTTAAAACCATGGTTGCAAGTATGTTATTACACCAATCCCATTTACCAAGTGAGAATATTCCAATCAAATGGGCTGAGATACATCAAGTTAGGATAGGATCATCAGCCATATGGCTAGGTAGGGCTGTCAATGGGTTGGCTCCGACCAGACAGACCCAATGGACCTGAATTGATCGGATCAGTATTGATTCCGGTTCCTGATATATTGTTCCGATTATTATTGGTTTGGAATCAATTCTATACAATACCAAACCGATTCAGACCCAACCTGATATATACATCAGGTTTATTATAATAGAATCCATCGAGTCAGACCCAACTGTTTTAAGAACTGATTGGTTCGATTTTGGATCTAAAATTACAAACTCTATCGAGTCTGATTCGGTTCCGGATCCTTAGTATGTCTTATTGGGTTGGATCCAGTTCTGCCTGAACCTGACCCGTTGACAGTCCTACGGCTAGGATGGCCCCAACTAATCCCAGCCTTGTCCAAGTTGCATTACTCTGAACTGTGAAGGTTAGTTTACTCTGGTGGTTGAGGGACTTCTTCCCTCGGCTAAACAACTGACAAGTTCACACCCGTGGGCGAATCCTATAACTCGTGCTGGATGTGATTCTGGTTCAGCTTGAACAAATAAAGAAATTATGAAACACTAACCTACTTGGAAGTTGGAATACGAGAAGAAAAAGCGCCAAAGCTGAGAAATTGTTCTCCACACTTGCGTCACCCTACATGTGCAATTGTTATAAAGTTATTAGTTAATCAATTCTGGACAAAAGCATAAGAAGACAACACCAAAAGAAAAACAGCCACCTTGGAGTTGATTATCAAATAAAAATTACTCAGTGTAGAAAGGGTGGTGTTGTTTTGTATTGATTGCCAAATAAAATTAATGACCAATGTGGAAAGGATGTTGTTGTTTTCTAAGATTTGGCATCACCAATTGGAATGGGTGTTGTTTGTTTTCTATTCTTTGGCATCACCAATTGGGAGGCGTGCTGTTGTTTTTTATTATTTGGCATCACCATTTCGGCATTTCCAACCTAAGTACTTGTTTAAAATTCAACTGTGTGAGAGAGAGATGGCATTAGGTGATATTGTTGGAAGAAGAGTTAAGAAAGCAGAATGTTGAAGAGATAGCAAATTTAAAAATCCATCATTCAGCATTTCAGGTTTCAGCAACTCGAGACCTGCTGAACAAAACAAAGATGTTGGGGGCCTTGGGGTGACTGTTTTACCTTTAAAAAATTTATCATGTATCAACAATTAATATATATGATGGTAGAGTGGTCATAGGCCCTCATTTGATCCTCAACATGTTCCAATATTCAATGGCCATGTGACAAGGCATATGTT